ATCCGCAGCCACTCAACCTTTGAGCAAACATGTAAGCAAAGCATGGGATATCCAATCAAAATATGGGATACCTTAGCAAGTGGACCAAATTGGATGATAAGAAGCAAGTAAATTTGAAGCCTACCACCCTTCTTGCCTTCGTACTTTGGTGAATTATAGTTAAGCTCTGACGATGTACGCAACACGACGCTCAGCAACGATTTATCGGGGTTGCAGGGCGGTGCGCCAAGAACCTATTCACACGAAGCTACAACCCCAGCTCCAAGGCAATCCCTCTTAAGCTTCTGGTGGAACCAACGTATGAATCCCTTCTATTCGCCTCTTCAAACGATCAGATCAATTTACGAATTCCTTCTAACAAATTTACCCTTCGAAATAAAAAGTCGCATCACAACAAGGGACGGGTAGCTAGGTTCTCCTAAAATCATACAGAGGCCTCACTGGACGCCGTTGAATGTCTCCCACTTTCATCAGAACCACCAACGGGACTCGACCTCAGGTTGTGAGCACCGAGCCCCGCTGATGCCGCTGGTGAGATCCATGATAAGTCGAAGTCGCGGTCCAGGCTGGATGGAAGCTGATTATGGGAAAACGTAACCATTAGTCCGTGAAAATCGTTTGACCTCATTTTCGCAACTTGGTCCTGTTGTCAGGGCGGCTCAGTTGGACGTACCTCACCCAAAGTCCTCTGTAATAGTGTTTGTGGTAATTCCCAGTGTCGAAACGTGCATTTTGTGTATTCTTAGACGTCGACAGCGTAAATTAGGCTTACCATAACCTCTTGACCTTCATATACTTCCGTGCTCAAATCATCTTGCTCGACCTAGACTAAGTTCTTACGCGTATGAGACAAAATTTGCCCATCCAGGCTCACCTTGGCAACGGAGGCCTCAGTCAAAGCGAAAGGGTATAAATATACGGCTAACTTTTGCGTAAAAAAAGCTTACTTGAGAGGCATACATCTTCATATGGCCAACCAGCCAGCCGAAGGTGCAGACCAGTCTGAATGAGAGCGACCATCTAAGATGCATACCGGGGCGAAATCAAATGCAAGACAAGGACTTCTCTTCACAACAATCGTGAACAGAATTACAATCTTTTCCCGCAACACCATACGCAATTGGCGCACATCGACAATAACCAGATTTACTCGTAGCTACGACTGCACCAGAAGTAACATAATGGGCATTCATCCGTGAATTAATTACGCTAAGGCCACCTAGTCAGATGCATTTCTAGCTAGAATAGGCAGGAAGGCGAAAAATAAAGCAAACCAGAATACTGCACTCGGTCTCAGCTCCAGTTCGCATTTGCTGTCACGAAGATTGGACAACTTGGTTACCCATTTGCCAGGTTCAGAGAACGCCTCTACAACTTAATAAATCTGGAATTTCAGTCACGAATGGCAATCAAGAAATGACTCTTTCACGACCTATCTAAATTGGATTAATGACCGAGCATATTTGCCATGGATAAGCTGGCAAGAATGGAGTCCCATACCAGAGTTCAGGAAAAAGGTCGCGTTCATTTGATATCGCACGGATCTAACAGAATGAAGTCAATTTGGCCTGGAGAACGGGACAGGTGGAAAGATCTCTGTCATGTAACTGTCTTCTCGAAACATTTGCAGGCAAGTTCCGACTTGGGTGTAATGACGAAAGAGAAAGAGGCAGAGATGAAGAATGGGCGAAAGGAGAAAGGGAAGCGAATGGCCGAAGCTGCACATGTGTGCACGCAAAAGTACAGAATGGCTTGGAGTGCCGGAGAAAGTGGAAACCGACAGGGTTTTCATTGGAAGCGATGTGATTGAATAAGTGCTTGAGGGTTGTGGGAACGAGGAATTACGCAATCATGCGACATTCCCGTGTCCCTTTCGCTCCATCTGTCGTGAAATTGCTGGATTTGGAAGTCCTGGTCGCCCGCTGGCTGTCTTGTTCGCTGCCCCGGCTCTTTCTTCCGTAAAGTTCCACCCCGATCCGCTCGCCCCCCCCCCACCCCCACCGGGGTCGCATTACATTCGAGTCGGTGCGAACTGGTCCTTGGCCCAAGGGGCCTTGGGTAGTCCAAACAATTAATTGACGCCTAGTAGCTGGTATTAGGATCCTTAAAACGTCATGTTAAAACCCTAATACGACACACGTAACCCTTTCAACACACACACACGCACATGCACACACGTGTGCATACTGACGCACATGTATGCATCGGACGTGGACCTGAGAGGAGGATAGCAGACAGGGGAGCTCGGCTGTACAAGAAGGCTTGGGTAGACATGTGATTAAGTGACCACGGATCAGTTGTGAATCGTGAGTTTGGTTTACGGTCAGCCACGTCATCTGCGAACATCTGGGCCCTTTGGCCATGCTGAACTGGCACGGACATGTACAAGTGAGTCGTCCTGACGATCGGACAGCGCGACGGACAGACAAGCAAGGGATGGGAGCAGCTGAAAAACATCGGAGCATTACACCACTTCGAGGCTTTGTCCTTTAAGCCGAGAAATGGACGGCGGTACAATGAGCCGCTTTTGTGTGTTTGTCTGTCCTCCCCGGGAGATTTAGCAGCCAGATGATGCCTAAGCTCTTTCTCAATCTCAAACACGGCCCCTCTTCCTTCTGCCCATAGAGCTGGCGACTTTGGGAGCTTTGGCCAGCCGCATTTTTACTTGGATTATGTCATTTCACCCAGCTGGGAGAGCAGAAGCGAAACTGCTATCATTGCCTTGACAGCGACCGTGTATTCGCGCTGGAGAAGGGTCACACTGTCCGCTGGAGCCGGCCTCATGAAACGCTTGCCGACAATGTCCACTCTGGCCTGATCCCCATTAATTCTGTTCGCATTCATGAGGCATCACACTTGAGATGTCATGAATTTCGGATCCTGTCAAGGGGAGAAGAAGAGACAACACCAACATAAGCTAATGTTCAGTGGCAACCAATGCCCCATTTAATTGTAATCCGTTCCTGCTACTTTAGTGAACCTACCGAGCAAATCCATGTTTGCAAGTCGACGTCATTTTGCAAAACCAGTTTGTCATTAATCCCAGTCCATAGTTGACATGGAATTCTAGCAAGGCAAATGGAAAAGCCGACTTGGCATAGCGAAGCCGGCTTGGTCAGACACAGAAGCAAGCATAATGCAAATGTCTAAAGTATTGCCTTGATAGATTGATGCTGAAATGGCCTTCACTTCAAGGTAGGGTTAGGGTTCGAGGTCGGTGGACGGTGAGCCGTGGGTGTATTTGCACAAACCTATAGTTACAACCGCAAAAAAATCCCCTTTCAGCTTCCAGCGAAGCCAAACTACAAACTCCTTCCGCTCACAATAGTTAACAAAGTGAAAGCTGCGATAACAATTATTGCATCATGCGAGCCTTCAGGATCAGGTCTCCGCGGCAGACGCCGTGGACCGGCTGGGTGTGGAAGGATTTGACTCG